AGTCGCACAGGGCCGTACACCGATGGGATGCAGCCTACACCGCTAACTAACAAAGCTGAAAAAAAAACCCTAACAAACATCTACGTAAAACGACAAGTTAGAATGAAGTCCAACCTCTAACAAAAACCAAATAACTAAAAAACAATATGAAAATTTCGTACATAAACCGAAAAACGAAACAAACAAACACTGTCGACGACACTACCCAGTCTACCTGCATGCTGAAGTTCATGAACTTGTCCGAAGTCCCTAAAACCTAACTATATGTACATCATCCTAAACAATATACAAAAACGTCAGAACACTAAGCACAAACAACATAAAGGCGTCGTCGAAGCATTGGAAGGGGAACGAAGCTGTCAATACCGTCGACTTCCCTTCCCCTTACCACTGCCTCTCTGCCTCCCCCCACTCGTGCTGCGTGTCGACGAAACACTCCCTCGCCCCGACGCTGTCGCAACGGATGACCCTCGCCTCCTCCGACTTCTCGTCTCCCGCCGCCCTGGAGGGGACGGGTTGTCTACGTCATCATGTCCTCTATGAGAGCCACGCCGTCTACGAGAACCATGCCGCGGTGGAGGGGAGGGCTCGTCGTCGTCGTGGTGGTAGCTGTCATCATCCCCGCTGTCGCTTTCCTCCTCCTCACGCTCCTCGTTGTCCTTGTACTCGTCACCCTCTTGTGGGGCCTCCTCACGTGCAGGCTCCGTCTCAGGATCGTCCTCCACCACGGTCACATGGGCAGCCCCCGTCCTCACACAAACAAGCCTAGCACTCACCTGAGTCACCTCTGCGACTGTCTTCTCACGACGAGAACCGCGCGGCATCTCCAACCCCTCGGCTCCAGAAGACTCCTCCAACGCGGCATCCCCCATGGCAGGCATCATCTGAGGCATGGAACTCGTACGAGCGACGCCGCTCCTGCGCGATGTCTGCTCACGCACAGCACGTGCTGTTGCTGCCAAAGCGGCCTGCAAGGTACACCCGGTCTGTCCAACCCCGCGAACATCTCGCGGCTGAGATACTGCCGGCATGACCTCCCTCGGCGCACCCCTCCCGGCGTCAGCCCCACCCAAACCTGGCTGTTGTCGTGCAGTGTGCACTGTGACCTGACGTACGGACTCCAGGTCAATATCCGTCCTCCCGAATAGCAATGTGTCAAGAGGGAGGCTCCCTACGGCCGTCGTGTCACGAACCCTGGGTCTGGTGGGCGTGGATGGTGAACGGGGGGGCCGACCGACTGGTGTCGAGGGGGAATCGCTGTGACGTGATCTCGGAGGAGGAGGCGGCATAAGTGGTCTGCTAGGGTCGGTGTCCTCCCGCCTCGTCACGTCACGCACAGCAGCCCGTGCGAGCTCCGCGAAATCCAATGGGCAAGCTGTATCCTGAGGAGCTCGCCACCCAGTAACCGTTGTATGAAGAACTGCCTCAGATCCTATATCTACGACTATAACCGGTGGTACCTGAACTAATGCCTCCTCCCCTGAACCTGACCCCTGCACACACGGTCGAACTGGCCGCATCGTCGTCGTCATCTGCAAGCCCGTGAACGGTACCAACGAACTACTACCTCCGTGGATATCCGCAGGGGGTGCATCCTCACGCTCCTCCTGTGGCTGCTCTACTACCTCCTCGCACCCCTGCTGAAGCGAGTCTTTCTCTCTCCCGGAGCATCTTGCAAATGCCTGCTCGATCTCCTGTGTGGAGTACCCAGCGGCCGCTAGGGCACGCGCCACATCCTCTCTCTCTGCGTGAGCAGGGGTGGGCGGATTCCCCAAAGACATGTCCATGAAATCCCCCATCCCCAGCCCTGACGCCCCCCTCTGTTCTGATGGCGATGCCCCCAGTGCCCTCCTCCTGCCCGGGGTCAAACCCGCTAGTGAGGGACCCATCTCGTCATCGACGAATCACTGGACGATCGGGTCAAGGTGGGCGCCTCCCTCTCCTGTACCATGGGCGGCGTCCCCCCTACCACACCCTCCTCTCCCCCAACCAACGTAGCAGCATCTGCCCTCACCACATCCTCCTCCATCTCAACCTGGGCAGTACCATCATCTACCCCAGCCACGCTCTCGTCTACCCCTGCCACAGCCTCCTCTCCCTCATCGTCCCTCATGGTCGCCTTCTGCATCCTCACCACATCGTCCTCTCTCTTAACCTCCGATGGCAGCACACCCTCCTCTCTCTCGACGTGCGCACCATGATCTACCTCCACCACGCCTCCCACTACTCCATCTACCTCCTCCTCCATACCCCAAATACCCTCAACTCCGCCCGCTCCGGCAGCTCCGTGCTCCTCCGCTCGTCTCTCCCTCTCCTCCACCGGTGGTGCCCCGCTATGAACACCCATCTCCCCCAAGTCGCTCGATGCACCCGGGTCCAAAACGAGCTGACGGGCTACGCTAAACAATGATCCATGCCCGCGGCTGCGCAACGAGGATCCCAAGTCCTCCCTCCCAACCGGTGCAGGTGAGCGCTCGTCATGCCGAACGGRAGCGGGCGGAGCGGATGCTGGGAATCCTGGGATAGAATGACACGAAAGAGGCGACAGGGACGAGGGTCCGGAATGCGTAGCGGGAATACTCGTCTGCTCTCGCGTGGTCGTGGGAGCAGGTGTCTGCTCTTGCGCGGTCGACGAAACAGTTGTCCGCTCCCACACTGTCGTGGCAGGACCCGGCTCCTCATTTGCAGTCATGGGAGCAGGTGTCTCCTCCCGCAAGGTCGTGCAAGGACGCGTATCCTCCCGCACGGCAGTGGGTGATATCTCCTCCGTGCCCCCGAAAGATCCCCAAAACTCCTCGCCCCCTATCATATCCATATCTCGCTGGTCTGCCGCCCTCCGCGCGGTGTGCGTCCTCTCGTCACGCACGTCCTCCCCCTCGTGCAACTCATCAATCTCACGCGGGATGGGAAGCATCGGGTCGTCCGCTGCTTCCGACTCCCTCTCGTYCGCAGAGTCATCGTCCCTGGGGTATGGGYGGAAGATAGTCGCACGAGCACCRAAAACAGACTCAACAGGGGRCRGCGCAGAAGACCYWATGGGATCGCGCGCAATGAGGGCAGCCTGCTCCTCGATCTCCTCCTCCGTCATCCCACTCCTCGTCCCCGAGCGCACAGGCTCCACGTCCAATCCCGCCTTGCGTCAAGCATGCCCTTGTTTCGTTGCCAAGGGAGGACGTATCCACAACCTCAACGTCTATACTCCATCAACCGCATATTTGCGGTGATCTCAACAAGATGAACGATTTTCTCGAAGGCCAACTGATTACGCTTCTTCGTATGGATGCCCTCGTGGACCGCCCAGTTCCTCTCCGCTAGAGAAACACAGGACCACATGTGCATCAAACGAAGAGCGCACTGCTGTAAATCGGGCGCCTCTCCCCCGTACTGAGACCACCACGACGCACACTCCAACGTCTGGCAGTCTCCGCTGCAACTACGCGCTCGAGCGCGGCCCTCTGCCCCGCCCCAAGACCCATACCTACCCTGCTGCATGTGAAAGTCCTCGAACTGCCGACATACCTCAAGGTAACGACCACCCGACTCATCGTKKCCCRTYTGAGACAAYAGATACCTCTTGGCTTGTCGAACAAGCCAAGTGTGGTACCGGTCGAGCTGCGCGGAGAAGTACTGAACATTCCGGCGACGGGGGTTCAGTAAGAACGTGGCGCAGTGTGCGGGCTCCAGCATGTGCTGTATACGGGCCTGCACACGCCTCATGATACGGTCAGAAAATGACTGGCCAAGAGGAATGCAAGCGTCCCGCACAAGGCGTGCAAGATCCCGAGTCCACTCTACAACGAGAGACATGAACTGCCCGCCACGGTCCATCCGCCTCAGCAAGTCCATAACAGGATCCATGACGTGCTTGATGGCACGCATCCTCTCCCACCAAGGGGACCACCTGATCTGTCGGCTCACCCAACGTGCCATGTCGCAAACGTCAGGGGACCACGGGATCCCAGCCCATGCCCGACCGTCCTCCGCTGTCATCATGCCCTGCAAACGATCCTGCAAAGCGAGCAACCTCTCCAACATGGAGTACACGGACGCAAAGCGCTTCTCGCATGAAAGCACGAGGCCCAACGCGGCGCTCCGCTTCCGAAAGAAGCTGAGAGCGGCCCGGTGGGTTTTGAAAAACACCACCAGAACTCAGGCACGCGTGATCGTGTCCACGAAAGAGGTGCAGATCGTGCCAATGTCTGACAACAACTTGTTGCAGACATGGACGCAGCACGGGAGCCAAGTGATCCTCCTCAGCTCAGGGGGCATAGATGGCGAGGCCAAAGCCCTCGCAGCCCCCACGTATGCAGAGGCGGAGTCAGTGCTTATAGCATTGACCCGCTGTGGGCCACCGAATCTGAAATTATGAAAGATGGCGACCCATCTCTGCAGGACGTGCACCGCCTCGTCCGGCTCCTCCTCTCGGTTGATCGTCGTGTACATGACGACCCCTCGAGACCCAGCTGCGAGGAAGTTCACGATCGGTCGCCCATCTCGTGACTTCCTCCCGCCAGAGAGGAGGGTGGCGCCACTCACCCATAATGGCTGCCTAACCTCCTCCAACTCCTCCGCCAACTGCTCGCGGTGGATCTCCACAGTTCGCATGTCTGCGATCTCGCTGTGGGATTGAAGCACGGGAAGAGGTGCTCCACCAGGTTGCCGAAGAGCAACCTGCTGGAGGTCCCGGTACGGCGTGTTGCGGAAGGCATTGAAGGCAATCCCGCTGGAATACACCCAGCGAAAGAATGCCTTCCTCCACTCACCAATCCACTCACCACCATACGTGTCC